GGTGCAAAGCTTGAATTTCCTTCTGTCCATTATGCTGAGTGCATACATGGAACAAGATGGGGAGGAAATTAAGGCTGGAGGCTCATACTCTGCTACCTATACATTTCAGCTAGAGATGGGAGAATCGGTCAATTTACGTTACTCATTTTTCCAATCTTAAATTCAGTTCTCCACATTTGAATTTGTTGTTGTTTTTAAGTCCTCATGAAAATTCATCAACAATTGACTGTGGCTTTCTCCTAATAAGCCCACTTTTGTATAGAATCTTGCCCAATATGCACTTTTCTGAAAAGCAATTTCCCAGGATATAATGTATTTTTGTGTGTTATTTTCATCATTATATGTATTCCTACGCACACTTTACTGGGGTATATGCAAAACTCAGAGGAATGCAAATTTTAAAGGTTCAAGCGTTCATGTATTCTTTCAGAAAAACATGCAAATTAGGCAGCTTCACCTTTAAATGTTAACTGAATCATACTGCTCTCCCATTCCTAGTTGCAACTCTAGGGACTGGCGTTGGGGGCATCTGTCAAGCAGCAAGGGGGAGACGATGGAATAACTGAGGAGGAGCAGAAGGAGTAATGTAAGCGAGCGTTTAACACATTCTGCATCAATTGAAAGGTCAACCACTGGCCCCGAGCAAAACTCTTTGCAGCCTGGAAATTGCAAGCAATGCGTGAGAAGCGAGTAAAGTTCGTGACAAGGGGTGGGGGGGGGGAGGAAATGGCTTTCCTTGTGCATCTTTACAGGGAAGAATGTCTATCTCCTGCTCAGTATCAACCTGAACAGATTAGGGGAATAACAGAGGGCCAGTCCCTTTGGCGTGCGCCTACTGGATTCATTTAAAGAGGTGGCGCATTATTCTTCTCCTGATCACTTGCACAATCTAGCCCTTGAGGAAAAAATGTATTTATTTTGCCAAAGCTTCACGGGGGCCTTTTGTGATCTAGTCACAGAGCAGAGAGAAGAAAGATCAAAGACCGCCATTGATCGAGCTTGATGTCCAAAGAATCAAAGATTGGGGGGTGCTCTTCTGCCTCCCTGAAAGGATCCCCAAGACTAATTTCCAGCTCATTTGCTCAGATGCAGATTGAGAGAAGCAGCTTCCATATTTTTTCCACGCAGATGCTCCAAGCTGGCTGGGAGCTCTTATGATGCTCGTTTCAGAATGTCATGTTTCTAGAACTGTAAGGCTGGAAGTAAGTCAGGTTTCCATATAAAACAACAACAATTTATTATTTATACCTGCCCCATCTGGCTGGGTTGCCCAGCACTCTAGGCAGCTTCGACACATATAAATCATACTGATTTTCCAAACACTAGGCCCAGCTGCAAGACTAGGGCAAGTGGTGACTTGATGGATTTGCCATGCAGTCACTTTCACAAGCCCTAAGCTCTTCAAATGTTGCTACCGATTGGACATTTATTTATTTTTCCTTTCATTTCTCATGTTTAAAAAAATGGCACTCTTAAGCCTCGGAAGATGGTGAATTCTCCTTCTTGGAGGTTTTCGAGCAGATGAATGGATGGTCAGCCATCTGTCATGGATACTTTTAGTTGAGATTCTTGTATTTCAGGGGCTGGACTAGATAACTCTCGGGGTCCCTTCCAACTCTACAGCTCTATTATTCTAAGTACTTAGCATAGTGACCTGGGTCTGTTTTCTGACGTGATGTTAATAAAGCTATATTGGACAGAGAGCCAAGCCAGGATATTATGGTCCTCTCTGTGTGCTTGCAATTTAAATTAAAGTCTGCTGTGATTTAAGAGAGCCTCTGTTATTTGAAGGTCCTTGCTATTTCTACAGAGAGGAAGAATTATTCCCATCACTAAGTCAGGTAAGAACGCTCGATGGCAGGTAATTAGTGGTGTATCATAGTATGGCCATTTTACTTCCACTTGTTTGAAAGATACCCACTGTATTTTCACTGGCATGACCTTGGGCTGCAGCCTGCAGTGACAAGCGCCTTCTCTTGCTAGAACTGTTTTTCTGAGTCTCTGGCTTCGTTTCCTTCGATGCTGGCAACAGTGGTGTCAAAGAATTCAAAAAATCTTGTTCGTTGAATGTGTAGGTGGGGGCAGAATAAAACCGTGTCTCTCTCTACAGAATGCTCCAAAGTTGCCTTAGCTCAGTGGCAGAGCATCTGTCTTGCATGCAAAAAGCCCCAGTTTTCTCCCAAACACTTCCTGGTAAGTCTGGGAATGAAATCCCAGGAGTGTGGCTGCCAGTCAGTGTAAGCAATACTAGGCTAGATGGACCAATGTTCTGAATCAGTGTAAGGCAGCTTTCTAAGACATTGGGGAAAGGCTATAGCTCATGTCTTGCAGGCACAAGGTCTGAGATTCAATCCCCAGCATCTTAAGGTAGGGCTGGGAGAGTTTCCCTGCCTGAAACTCTGGAGAGCTGCACAATGGGAAAATAAATGTCTCTGAACTTTTCAAGACAGGTTCCTCCCTTATTACTTAACCTTGCTGCAGGAGGGGGGCAGCAATAGCCAGGATTTTGGCAGAGCAGTTAAAACGTTTGCCACCACCATCTTGCTCTGCTTTTGATACTGCTCCCTGCTGAAGAGAGAGAAAAGGTGCTGGACCATCCCTGGGGGACCCCGGACTTACCCCCCACCCTGATTTTCAGCACCTGGCCTTATGCTAGACTTCTGGGTGGGAGGGGGACATTAAGGGATTGTTGTGTTGATGGGAATGGTTTTGGGACTAGGGATGGGGCTTGAGGTTTTGTTTATCTGCTAGCTGATGGTTGGGAATATTGCTTTCTTCATTGTTTGTGGTGTGTTGTTTTTCCTGTTCTGTGTGATGTATGGAACATTGATGTGATATATGACTTCCCCCTTTACCCTAGGGTATAATGTATGTGCATTCTTTTTATTTAATGTAAGTCCCTTGGAGCCCTTTGGGTGACAAGCAGCTGAGAAGATCAAATAAATAAATAAGAGTGCCAAGGATTTTCTGCTCTCCTCCCACCCTTTTAGAACAAACTCTTACAGGCCTTTCTTGCCAGCTGCCCTTTGTGGGTTGCACTGGGAGCAACGCTGCATTGTCTCTGCATCATCATGTCACTCCCGAGGTGCTCTGGGAAGAGGCGCTGGCGGGAAGTGGAGCAGAGTTCTCACTCCCCCCCCCCCCGGCTGTGCTTCCTGGGACAGCCCAATAAAGTCAGTAGCAATCCCACTCCAGAAACTTCGAAGGAATGTTTCCCCCTTGACAAGAAAGCATCGCAAAATCACACAACCCTAGTTGCATTGGGGAATAATGCTTTTAGGAAAGAGGTTGCCATGGTGGTGATTTCAGCCACAGCTGAACTGCTCTGTCAGGAAGTCCCCCCCCCAAATATTTAGTCGGAATCTCCTTTCTTATAACTTGAAGCCATTGGTTTGAGTCCTACCCTCCAGTCTTGTTTGTTCCTCGTTGCATTCCAAATGACACCAGAGAAAACCGTGCACGTAACCAGAGTTTCTCGGATGGATTTAAAAGAGGATTCTACAAATTTACAGGGGTGAAGGCTACAACTTCTAGCCATGATGATGACTATGTTCTACCTC